ACACCAGGCCCAGAAGAGACCCCTCACACACACACACACCAGGCCCAGAAGAGACCCCTCACACACACACACACCAGGCCCAGAAGAGACCCCTCTCACACACACATACAAGGCCCAGAAGAGACCCCTCACACATACACACACCACAAGCTGGGTGTGGGCAAACCAGCTCTCCACCTGCATGAGGCCGGCATGACCTCCGTCAGCTAGAGGTACCACCACAGCTCACTCCCAGGCCTTCCTGGGACTGTCAGAGAATGTGAGAAACACCCAGGTAGTTAGGAACTTGGGAGCAGAGGCCAAGGTGGACACAGCTGCTGGGGACCCCCTCCGGCTGCCTCCCCCAGCCTACCAGCCATTCCATAGGGAGATAAAAGGCTGGAACAAGGGCAAACCATTCTTTATTTCCTTCCTCAGGATTGAGACTAGACAGGGATCCACTCAATCTCTTCCCAAATTCTTGTTATCTCCCACATAGGACATACAGAGGCCCCCCCTCTGGTAAAGATGAAGAAGGACAGATAAATACTGGTCAAATGTAAACATCTCACAGTTCAAACTGTAGTTCAAAGGGATGAATCAGAGTCTCAGGATCAAACATCTCTGTGGGACTTGGAGCTTTTGCAACAAACATGAGAAAACCCTAGAACCTCTCTAATTCATAGTATCTGCAAGAACTGAGAATATATGCGTGTCAGAACACCAAGGGAGGCCAACTTGAAAAGGAAAGACAAAAGATTGCTTGAGATGAGAAAAGTGCAACTCTGTAAGCTGGAGGCCTCAGGTGGGAAAGTACAGGAGCAAACTGGAGAATCAGAAGACAGTCCCACAGTGTTCTCGCAGAGTTCGAGTGGCTTATTAGGACAATGAATAGGAAGATGAAGATGGACAGAGACACAGCAACCGATGAGACTGTGTAGGGAGGACCTAAAGATAGAAGGTAAAGGGGCAGACCGCCAGAGAAACAATTAAAAAAAAAAAAAAGTGCATGTTCTTAGCTCAAAGTCTGAGCCTTGAGTTTGAAAATCATGGTGGTGGGAGTTAATTAAGAAACAGCATATCTACATCTAGCTTGGCAAATTTCAGGAATTAACTGAAACAAAAAACAAAACAAAAAAAAGACCCCACCAAATCAAACAAAAAAAAAACCAAAAAAACAAAAACCACAAAAACCAAAACCAAAACCAAACCAAAGCCCTACAAGGATCCAGAGAGAAAGAAAAGATCTGGTACGAAGAAGTAACAGCAGGTTAGGTAACAGATTTCTCTGCAACATGAATGCCTAAGAAAACCAAGCAGAGCCCACGGTTTGGGCTCACAGCTATTCTTCCTCAAGACTTCTAGATCCACCTGCTGTTGTCAAAATACAGTAGACAGCCAGCCCAGAAGTGATGGCACAGGCCCCACCCCCTCCTCGCTCACAGCCTTCTCTCTGGGAAGAACTCCCTCTAACCCAGAAAAGAACCAAATTTTAAAACCGGGGAAAGTCTGTGATTTATGAACCAGTAAAATCTTAGGGGTGTTATCAGCTCCATGTGGCCCATCCGCATTGATACACAGCCCTGGTGACCCCTGACTTCTTGCCTCCCATGCTCTACACCCGCTTCGCTCCAAACCTAGGGGCCTTCTTTTTGTTCTTTACAACACAAAAAAGCATCTGTCTTTTGTGTTTACAGTTCGACCTGCCTGGAATTCCTTTTTCTCAGAATTCTGCATGGATCTCCCTCCCTGAAGGGCCATCCCTGATGTCCTCCTAAGTTAGAAGCTCCCTGCCATTACTCATGCTCCCCCCGCAGGCCTATATAAAATTCCCCTCAGTTTCTAGCACCATCAGAAACATCATACATTCAGTGTTTTGTTTGTTAATGAGCTGTCCCTTCCAGTAAACCGTAACTTCTATGGGGGAAAAAATGGGAAAGGTGGGATATAAAACCAGTGGGCACGGAAACCAGTCAAATTTGGAACGAAGTCCAAATAACTGTTGCCTATTAAGTCTTGCATAGGTCAAAAAGAATTTCTGAAAAAGAGGAAAACCAAAACAGTCTTTTGTAACAAGAATCTGGATTTAAAGATGAAGCAGATCTCCACTCCAGGCCCAAGTGGGACATCAGGGCCAGACTTCCTCTCCTGCCTGAAACAACGAAGCAACAGTACACCGTGGATGACACAACGGGCTTCAAGACCCTGGGCACCAGAAGGCAGATGACAGGGACCCAAGAGACGGGAGACAGAAGAGGATGGCTCTCAGGTACAGCATAGGGACGAAAGCAGAGGAGGGGCCTGGCACAACCTGGAGTCAAAGAGACAAGGGCAAGTGTTCGGGGAGACCACGGCACAGCATCACCAGAGAAGAGAGATGCATAGGAGGGAACGCCAGTCATCTGCAGATGGGCTGGAGTATCCCGCAGGGCACTAACTGGTGCACACACTTGAGGAGGCCACCTGAGATCAAGATAGAATAATGCAAAAAGAGCAGAGGGAACAGTACTTGACGCTCACGCAGGGCTGGAAACAGCGCTCAATCCCACCAGCCAGACTGGAAATCCTCATCACTCACAAGATAGAAGGTAGAGCACTGGAGGGTCCTGAACTAACTGCTGCTCCGGTCCCACCTGATAAACCTTAAAAACAAGACCGACCCAAAGGATCAAATTATTTCTAAGTAACTCAACTAACTGTATCCCAGAACAAGGCTCTAAAAAAAGTCTAAGAATACAAAAATATACAGCACTCAGCAAGGTGGAATTCACAACGTCTGGCACCCAATCAGATGTCACCAGGCACACACGGAGAAGCTAAGCAGGTGCTTACAACCCAAGCAAAACCCACAAGAAGAAAAGCCCATCTACTGAAACTGACCCGGAACTGATACACAGCTAAAATCAGCAGGCCAAGGACATTAAGACAGTTGTTATAATTGTACTTCATATGTCCCACAGCAAAGCCGAGATGGAGGATATTTTAGAAGATCCAGTTGAACATCTGGAGACAGAAACCACAATGCCTAAGATGAAACACACACCAGATGGGATTACCAGGGACCAGATGCCGCAGAGGAAAGATTAGTCACTTGAAGGTAGAACAACAGAAACCATCCAAAACAAAATAGAGAGAAAGAGTGAAAACAATGGTAATATCATCAGTAAGCTGTGGGACAGCTCCACGTGCCCTAATATGTGTATAATTGTGGAGTCCCTAAAGAGGGCTGGGTGGAAGGCCCAGAAAGAATATTTGAAGACATAAGGGATGAAGTGTTTCCAGATTTAATGAAAACCCAAAGATCCAAGAAGCTGAACGCCAAGTGAACTCCAAGTGTAAGAAACAAAGAACAATCCATTACAGCACATCATAATCAGCTTGTTCAAAATCAGTAATAAAACAGTACAGGCCAGATGACAGGAGAGCAACATCCTTAAAGCTCCAAGGAAAAACCTGTCAACCCTGAGTTCTATACCCAGCAAAACTACCTTTCAAACACTAAGGCAACTTTTCAGATACAAACTTTCCAGATTCACCAGCGGGCCCAAGCTACAATGTTAAAGGATGACCTTCAGAGAGAAGGAACATATTACCAGGTGGAAATGCAGATCCATAGAGGAATGAGGAGCAGTGGAAATGCTTCTTCATGTGAAAAAAACCCCCAGAAAGGCTGGAGCAGCCGCAGCAGATTAGGAACAGGGATGAGAAGGAAAAGGAGAAAGAAGCATCAATGCCTTTTGTGGCAACAGCGTACCTACTTAAAGGCTTAGATTTCAAAAATTCTGGCTTGAACAGAGAATCATTCCTCATGCAACGTGTCTGTTAAACTCTAGGTCAACTGTTGAGAGACTGATTTCTGACCAGAGGATTCATAAAGCTTTCCTGAAATTATGTACCATTACAAGGGCTAACATTACTGAGCTGATTTCCCGAATTACACAGCTTACTCAGGAAATAACAAGGTAATGCTCTCCTGCAGCAAAGGTAACAAGCAGAAGCACAGTTAAGCCACTGTCTCTACCTGGAATCCAGAGTCAGGATGCTGCAGGAAGTGCACTTCTGTGAAAGCACTTCCATAAAAGCACACAGCAAGAGACCTGTACAGGTGAGACATGGAGCTTTGTAAGCTCACAGCCTGAGCTCCTCCTGACTGAGCACCACAAAGAGACAGGGAGAACCAGGGCACTTCTGTCCTTCATGTTAAGGCTGCTCAAACACAGTGGATTTGCACTTGAAACTTACACAAGATGGGGAGATTTCTTCATGGCTATTTGGACTCTAGTCCTGAGATTGGAAAACCATCAAATTAAAAACTGAAAATGAGGAACAACAAAGATGAAGCACCAGACCATCCTGACAAAAACAAAGAGGTGTGGTGGCCAGAAGGAGGCTGCCTTCTTGAAACAGTCTCAGGTGTTTTTCCAAAGGGGATCCTGGTCCTGGCTTGGAGAAGGGGTGAGGCCCAAGCTCCTGGACCAGCAGGGGTGGGTGGGCACAGCACTCACGCCGCGTGTTTCTGGTGCAGGGGCGTCTTATCCCGGTGCAGGGGTGTGGTGACCACCACCTTCTGGCTGCACACCGGGGTGGACGTCAGTGAGGGGCTCTCCAGCTCCAGTGTGTCCTGTTTGTTCCAGAAGTTCAGAAACTGCAGAGAAGAGGATGGAAACAAGACAAAGTGACAATCTGCAGGGGTGGGGGTGAGACCCTGGACGCCCCCCCCACTCCCCGACATGGCTGTTCTCTGACAGAGGTCTCCCTCCTGACCTGGGAGCACTCCCCCACCAGGCACCAGAAAATGAAAACCAGGGTAGATCGACAGGACCCACAGTCTAGGTTCACATAGACCCCTGGGATTGTCACTGCCCCCAGCCCTGGCTTTTGTGAAGCCGGGGAGGGCCATCCCCCACGCCCACAGCACTGCCAACTGTGCAGTCAGGGCACAGAAAGCTGGCAGTCTTGAGAGCAGCTCCTTTTCAGAAGTAAGACTAGCTCTCACCCAACCTGTGGACAGGGGACAGTGACAATGGTGCTGGTGACGTGAACAGGTACAGCACCCCTACACACCACAACTAAGCATTCACACCAAGAATTCCATGTGGTTTTCACAGATCTTCTATGACGTAGGTGCCATCACAACACCCCATTTTACAGATAGGAAAGCTGAGGGTAAAGAGGTAAAGTTCTTGCGCTGAGTGCTAGAGACAGGACGCAAATCCAGATCTGAGCCAAGTCTGTGGCACTACTCTCCCCATCTTTGCCCTGAAGGTGCCCCGGTAGCCCAGGGCCATAAGCAGCCCTTGGGTCCACAGCCCTGAGCGGGGTCCCCATCACCCTGGGCTGTTTGTTGGGCAGCTCAGGGCTCGCTGTCCTTCTCTTGTCAGCTGCCCTTACTTGGGGCCTGCTATAGCTGAACGGTGTGGTGTCCTCCCAAATTCCCATGTTGAAGCCCTGACCCAGGACCTCAGAACATGAATGTATTTGGAGACAGAGCCTTCAAAGAGATGATTAAGGTAAAATGAGGTCATAAGGATGGGCTGGTGTCCTTAGAACATTCTACAAGGAGCAGATTAAGAGATTATAAGAGAAAGGAGATTAGCACACAAACACACACACAAAAGGAGACCATGTGAAGATACACAGAGGAGACAGCCAGCCATCTACAACCAGGAGAGGCTCCGAAAAAACTGAACCTGCCCACACTTAATCTCAGCCTCCAGAACTATGAGATTAATTTCTGAAGTTTAAGCCCCCTGGTCTGTGGTACTTTGTTTTGGCACCTGTAGCAACTAACACAAGACCTCTCGCAGAAAAATACCACTAATCACCCCTGACACGGGCCTGGCCTCGATCCTTGAACAGATGATGGAAGTAGCCTCCTAAAATGTGCCTCCTCTGGGCCTCACTCTCCCCCACATCCTCAGGGAGGGGGGTAGACATAGTGAGACCCAAAGCCTCCATCCACTCTCTTCTGGTCTGGGGCCGTGGGAACTCCAGGGTCTGCCTCTCGCCTGCCCTTCCAGTCCATCCTCCCATAGCCCCACCACCCCCTCAGCCCCCAGGGCAGTGCATACCCCTTGTTTACACCTACGGCCCTCCAAAGCCCCTGCCCCTTCCCCCAACTTCCCCATCACCCTGGCTCTGGACTTCACACCATGCACTCTGCCCCTCATCTCCATGCCTGTGTTCAAGCTGACAAAACCCAGCTCAAACATCTCTCTCGGAAGCTCTGAATGCCTCCCTGACAAGTAGGGAAGACAGGGTCCCTCCTCAGCTCTCCCTAATAGTACTTTCATTACAAACAGAGCAGTACCCAGGACACAAGCTCCCAACGACCACAGCACTTTCCACACCACATTCTGTTCAAGTAATTACAAGCCTGCCCCCAGCACTCACTACCCTCATCAAGGGCAGGGCTATGTCACCTTCACCATTACACCCCAGGGCGGGCAAATCTGCTATGAGCAGGTGCGCAATAAACTCTTTTAGCAAATACTGAGTCCCTTCTCTTCTTTGCCCAGTTACCACCTATTATTCCCCAGCTAAGCAATCCCTCCCTCCTCATGGAAGCCTTCCAGGATGACACCTACCCCCCCAGAGGAGATGCCCTCACAGCTCTATAAGCCTCACATACCAGGTGTCACATTCATTTGCAGCTTTCTCTATTAACTGGTCTTCCCACCAGAGCGTAAGCTTCCCGAGGGTGGAGCCAGGCCTGGTTTTGCTCCCCTCTACGCCCCCAGCACCTAGCACAGGGCCTCACACACAGCAGAGGCTCAGGGAAGCCTTGCTGAATGACGTGTGCCCACGTGCCAGGCCCTGTCCCGGGCACTGGGAGTCTGTACACCGAACGCAGCAAGCATCGGGGTGGGGTCCACACACCTGGGAGGGCGAGAAGGGTAGGGTCTTGACGGGTGTGCTCTTGGGGGTGAGGCTGTTACAGGAGTCCAGGAAGGACAGGCTGGCGCTGTTCTCCGTGACAGGGGACAGGGCGACACGCCTCTTCTTCTGCCGCTTGAGCACCGAAGGCGGCGTGCCGATGCCCAAGCCCCCCACCTCAGTGCTGGGGGAAATGGGGATCAGCTCGCCCCGACTGCTCCGGCTCAGGTCTGAGATGGTGTGGCCGTCCAGGCGGTACTCGGTCACACTGGGCACCAGGGCAGCAGGCTGGCGGGGCGGCGGCACCTGCTGCCGCCGTGATGGTGATGGCTGCACCGGGCTGTTGCTGATGCTGCCCTCTGCGGACGGCTCCTCGGGCAGGTCAAATTTACTCAGGTCACACCAAGCATCAGGGTCCTGCCCAGAGATGGGGGGTTAGGAATAACTGCAATCACTCTGCTTTCGCAGCCGACACAAGAAGATTCATTCATTAAAGGACAACACACACACATCAGGGAGGAACCCACAGCCCAGGAGTCATCACCATGAACGTTTTCTTGCGTTTGCTTGAGGATTCTTCTACCATCTGTATATCTCTATCTGCAAACATACCTGAAGGCACACTGCGCATATGGCTGCTTGCTGTTATTTTTAAAGTGATACATAAGATAGAAAGCACAAAGAAAGAAAAATCAGACACCCATCAAGGAGTCTAGGAAATAAAACCCTATAAAAAAAAAAAAAAATCACTGAAGCCCCAGACCCACCTCCCATTGGTCACGTCCTCTGCCTGAACTCAGTTTTTACCATCTTCATGCATTCCCTTCATTTTACCACTTACATCCCTCAATGATAGCTAGGATTCTGCGTTTTTAGCCTTAGAAAAAAATCATTTCTATATCCTTTTTTTCCACTTAAAATTATAGTAATAATAATAGTGCCTAATTCTATTACCTATGAGTTAGATGTTTACTATTAACAAATATCAATTATTATGTGAAAAAATTTTCAACTTTTATAACAGTTTTATGACTGCAAAATATTCGATCATATGAATGTATCGGTTACTTAACTATCCCCCTCTTCTGTTGGACATTGTTTTTTCCCCTAGTTTTTAAAAATTAAAAATAACATCTTCATGAACATCTTGGATACAAATCTTCTCCTGCATTTTTGGTGACTTCCTTGAAAGAGACTTAGGCCCCAGGCTGTGTGGCCAGGTTTAAGGGTCCTGATCCACACAGCCACACTCCTGGAGAATGGGCTTCGCTGTGCTCCACGCACCTGTCAGTCATGGATGCCTCCTGGGCCAACTTCACCTAAACTCTCTCCAGTCCCACAAGAACCTGCCAGACAAACATTACTCTCCTCCTTTCCAGGCCAGAGACGGTGCAATCTGCCTGAGGTCCCTTAAGTTTCTGGGAGCAATTCTGAGAGTCATACCCAGGTCTTCCTTCCTTTGCCCAATAAATTACAACCCAGCCACAGGGCTGCTGGGAGACAGAAGCTTCCGCTTTGGTCCCTGGAGGTCTGGCCCTGAGTAGAATCAGATCCTCATGATGACTGCTGGTCCTTGGGACTCGAGGGAGCGTGGGCAGTTCATCCCTAAGGGTGGAGGCCAGCTCAGGGCAGCACTGACTTCAGGCCCATGCTCCCAGCAGCAAACCTCAACCTCGAGGAGGCCCCAGACTGATGGTGTCTAATGGACCAGAAGCAGATCCTACAAGCACTGCCTGGAGGGGCAGACAGCAGTGTTTCCACAAACGCTGTAACAGAGCATGTATGTTAGGTAGCAAGTAAGGAGCCTGGCCCATGGTGAGCACTTAAACGTCAGCTACTGTCGTTACTAATTAAGCATTCGGCCGGGCATACAGTGGGCGCTCAATAACACTTAGGTCCCCTCCCCCCACTCTCTGGACCTATCAAGTGAAGAAGAGGCAAAAGAGTCTGAGGATGAAAGCAGGTAACACCATGAAAGGCCAACAGTGCCAGGCACAGAGTGCGTCCTACGCTCATCTAACTCTCCCCATAGGGCCCAAATCGGGGTCTGCTCCTGGCAGCCTCAGAGCTATTTATTGAATGTATTGACAAACCAATCAGACCTGCTTCTCGTGCCACTCTGAAATTTCTTGGAGTGGAGGGGACACCACAGCTAGACCCTACAGCCGGGACCAGTCCCAGTCTCTGGAGGCAAGAGGTGGTCAAGACAGCCCAGACCACCAGACTTACTCACTGTGTGACCGTGGGGACACTACTTAACCCCTCTGAGCCTCAGTCTCATCTACAAAACACAGAGAAAGGACATACCTCACAGGATACTGTGTGGATTATACACTGAACCCAGAGCCTGGCATTTAGATGTTCAATAAACAGCATCATTATTCTTAGCAAGAATGGGGAAACCCGGGTGGGAAGGTGAATGTGGGGTGCCTCCCACTGAACTCCGCTGTCCCTAGTTGCCAGCCCTGTCCCCCATCACCTCCTGAAACCTGCTCCACATGGCAGGCCTGGCTGACACAGCAAGGAGCTGGGATGTCCCATCAGGAGGTTCAGCCCCCACCAAGGAGCTCTCCCCAATGAGGTACAATCCACAGCCAGGGTGGCCTCAGGGGCAGCATTACTGGAGTTACCTGGTAACTCCTTTCATGGAGTTACCAGAACCCACTCAGCACTCCAACCCCAGCCCTACATCCGGTGCTGTGAGTGTTATGGGCCTCAGACGCCCTCCCCTCATCATCCCTAAGGTCTCAGGGCAGTGCCACCTCCTCTGGGGAGCCCTCCCACCCGACCTGCACTGTAGCACATGAGCACAGGGACTGCATGGCAACCATCTGTGTCCCCAGGCCCTGGCTCCCAGCTGGGCACTCCGCATCAGCTCAGGAGATGTTGCAGGATGACGGAGTGAACAAAAGGATGCCCACCCAAGAGAGAAGCATTCGGCGGGTGCTCTGGGCCCACTGTGAAGAGCTGTGACCAACATTACCGACTCGATCAAGTCCAGGGCTTCCGAGAGGCTGGACCCCACGGCAGGGATGAGGAGGTTTGCAGCCTCCACCACCCACTTGTAGGGCAGGCTGGTTTCCGGCGAGGAGCCCTCCTGGTCTTCACGCTTCGGGAAGTCCTCCAAGGGCTCCGGTGTTCGAACTCCATCCAGGTCTGCAGGGACAGCTCCCTGCTCCTTAGAGGTGGTGGCTGCCGTGGCCTCCTCCTCACTGCTTTCCTCTTCCTTCATGGCAGGAAGTGCGGGGGGCCAGCTGGTGACGAGACTTCCCTGTTGGACACGAGGGCACAGGGTTCTGATTATGAGATGTACACTGTAGTATTCTAGCGAAAAACAGCACAACCTGGGGCGCCTTCTCAAGGGCAAGGAGTGCGATCCCGTGTCAATGGTGGGGGGCACAATGGCGTCAGGAAGAAGCCATGGGCTCTGGAATCAGCCAGAGCTTGGCCATTTTTGTTAGCCGGCCTTGAGCAAGCTGTGTGACCTGTGTGTAAGTCAGCTCTCTTGCTTGTAAAATGAGGACCCTGAGGCTCACCAGGGAGGGGTGCTACAGAGATCAGCAAGAATGCGAACAGCGCCCAACTCACACCTTGGCTGTTAACTGCTATCGTTGTCAAGTGAACGGGATGGAAATGGTTTGTGGTCCAAGCAAAGGAAGAAAAGGAGATAAAAAGAACAGATTTGATTGAAAACTTGTAACCACGACAATCGGAGAAAGGGGAAGAATGCCATAAACGCTATTTAAAGGCTCGAATGTGGGAATCCCGCTTTGGAAACAGCCGTGTTGAAGAATGGCTTGGTGATTTCATTTAGAATTCAGAATACACTTAACCATACGACCCAACAATCCTAAACCTAGATGTTTATCCAAGAGAAATGAAAACTTATGTTTACACAAAATCCTGTACACAGATGCTTATAGCAGCTTTATTTGGAAACATAGCTAGGAATCAACGTCCCTCAGCTGATAAATAAAGAATGGTACTCCCATACAACAGACTATCACTCAGCAGTAAAAAAGAACAAATCACTGACAGATGCAGTCACGTGGATGAATCTTAATGCATTAATAACTAAGCAAAAGAAAAATCACAGAAGAGTACAGACTGTATGATTCCATTTCCATGACATCCTTACTAAGATAAAACTATAGAGAGACAAAACAGAGAAAACAGAAGCGGTTGCTAGGGGCTGGGGGCTTGGGAATTTTAGGGGGTGTTGGAAATGTCCTCCACCTTTACTGTGGTGTTGGTTACATTTGACAAAACGCACAGAACTATCTACTAAAAGGGTGAATTTTACTGTCTATAAACAACACCTTTATAAAGTGAAGGGATGAGGAAGCTCCATGTTTCCCAAGCTGGAAAAAAGGAGTTATTATATGATAAAGGGGTAATATCCTTAATACATAAATAAAAGTTTATGAATGACAAAAAAAAAAGGGGGGGGCAAAGGCAAATCAATAAACTAAAGAAAAACCATCAACCTCACCAGTAGGAAATCAAACCGAAATGATAGTCCACTGTTGGCTCATAAAATTCGCAAAGATTTTTTTTTTTTTTTTTTTTTAAGAGAGGGAGAGAGAGAATCCTAAGCAGGCTCCACCTCCACTGTGGAGCCCCAAACCAATTCAGGGCTCGATCTCACGACTCTGAGCTCATGACCTGAGCAGCAATCAAGAGTCGGAAGCTTCACGACTGAGCCACCCAGGTGCCTCAGCAAAGGCATTTTTTTATACAGTCACAGCCAGTGGTGACAAGAGTGTGGGACAACAGGCAATGCCATCTGTTGCCGACAGGACAAAATGGTACCATCACTCGAGTGGCAATTTGGTGATGCTTGTGAAAATTTCACACGTCCGTACCATTTGACCTAGTCATGCCACATCTGTAAAAACTAACCCACATAAATAAGTACATGCACAAAGAATTTGAACGATGATGTTCACTGCAGCATCTTAACAGAAATGGTAACAGATGTTCATCAGCAGGTTATGACAAGATGTAACAGATTCAAGGATAGTATAAAGATCTGTATGCGCAAAATGACATGGAAAGATTTAAGAAACTGTAAGGCAGTAAGTTATAACATAATCTTCATTTTAAACTTATTGCCCTTAGTAAGAAATGTTGGCAAACACATTAAACAATATATTGTTTCTCTCTGGCCGTCGAGATTAGCAGGCTCGGCCTTCTGCAATATTCAGTTCTGTAAAGTTTGTAACTCTTTACAATGATCATGCATTACTTTTGAAGTAGAGGGACAAGAATTATAATTGCAAGCACTGACCAGTGAGTGGGGAGAACAGGAGGTGGTCCCCATATACACATTAGTAGGCAAAATTTTCTGGCAGGCAATCTGGCAAAATGTATTAGAAGTTTTTCAAGAAATGTGTCTCAACCCATCTCCATGAATTTCTAAAGAAATAACTGAGCACATGAGCAGTGATCTGAGCTATGAGGGTCGTTAAAGTTTTGTTTCTATTTTTAAAAATTAGATATAACCATAATTACATAGACAAACAGCAAAATAGAACCATGAAAATGATGCTGGAGATGAAATGAGGCTGAAAACAACACGCTAACTGACCCCCAGGGGCTCATTCTGGCCCAGCATGGCCAGTGCTCCAGACGCAAAGTGCCAGAGGTAAAAGCTAAGTCAAAAAACTGACTTTCAGCCAAGGATTTTCAGAGACCAAGGAAGGTCTGTACACTTCCCCCCTATCCTAAAAAGTGACTGTGTCTGCTGATGTCCACAGTTTCTCTTTGTGGAACATATGCTTCTTCTTCAACCAGAAGTAAAACGCTTGAAAACACGTGACTCAGATACACAACAAAGTGTGAGAAGTAGACTCCTCTGGTTAGGGGATGTATGGGGAGTCCAGACTGGAAAAAGTCAATTTACTTTTCATTTTAGATATTTCCTTACTGTCTGTTACTCCACAGGAGCATTCATACCAGGGAACCAAGAGATATTCTCACAAGTTGAAAAATCAAGAAACAGAGGGGCGCCTGTGTGACTCAGTCATTGAGTGTCTGCCCTTGGCTCAGGTCATGATCCTAGGGTCCTGGGATGGAGCCCCACATCGGGCTCCCTGCTCCGCGGGAAGTCTGCTTCTCCCTCTG